ATATTCATTGGTTTCTGGTTCTTGTGTAATACCATATATTTGGAGAAATTTCTTGAACTTGCAATTCATATAATTTTTAATCTATTAAAAACGACATATTAATATTAGAAAATTATTTATCAATTGAAATAGGATAAAGACACTATTTACCTCAGAAATAAATGATTCAAATGTCTGATTAAAATTTTTCAATCGTTTCAAAGCAACAACTTGATCTGGTTTATCTTTAGAAGCAGATCTCAGTTTAGCTGTGTACACCTGACCCAATCTCCTTAATTTCATAAACATCTTGATATTGCATCCAATTAACATTGTATGCAGGATCTAACTTTGCAAGTTGTATAACATTATCCAAAATTGAATGGACATCACTGTAGAACACAAGAAAGTAATCTTTTGTTACTGGCTCCTGAGTGATACCAATAATCCAGATGTTATCTGGTGTTAATATCTTTGGATATTTTTCTAGTAGCTGCAGTTGAATTAAAAAGAAATAATTAGAAAACAATTCATAATAATAGTGTGTTGATTAGAATAAATACTTTACCTGATTAAAATCATATGATTGAGCATCTTGTCCATTAATTACTTTCTTAAGAAGAACTTGTATCAATTGGGAACCATCTGCTATTGGCTTTGGCCAATTTGCTACATGTGAGCATTCATACTCTAACAATGGCATCTCATGCATGTATGTCAACTGATAAAAGTGTATCCATTGTAGATATCCATCATGCGGTTGCAACATATTATGCCATGATGTCATTATGAATGAGTCTAGAGATTTGTTGCCAGTGGACCAACTGGGAGTTCTTGGATTTTTGCACAACAGACACAGTTTCATTCTATGTTTGCTTTGTATTATAGCATATTTTTGCCATTGCGGGTGATATGTGAAACCCCATACAACCCAAATGTTTGGATCAAGTATATCTGGATAGTCTTTACATAACTGTACAAATGAAATAACATTAACTAATAACCAAAACAATTATGATAGCTGCATGTTCGATTGAATAAATTACTGACCTTGTCATAGAATAAATCATCTTCTAGATCTGAAGTCTCAAGCGGAATCAGGTTCATGTAAGAACCTAAAGATAAATTCTTAAAACGCGCATAAGAATATTGCCGAGGATCATCCTTTGCAAAATATATAAATTCATCTGGCGACATTTAATCAAGCCCAGCAAATGGTTTATATTGCAAGTAAGCATCATTCGCGGTCTTCGTTGACATTTGTGATTTCTTAATAAATTCATCAAGTTTTTTACAGTTACTAGTCCATCCACATGCTAATTCTTTATGACCACAAATGCACCACACTGGACTGCATCTTAGTCTTCCACATGCGGAGCAAAATCCATGCCAAGAAAAATGTAGATAAAAGTCTTTGTCAGTTACCATGTAGCAATTATCTTCGTTCATGGTAAACCCCCGTATCATAACAGTATTACCGCAAGCGTAGGGCCATATCTTTGAAATTGATTAGCATTGGGCGGGTTCATGTGTTTTTGCGTTGGTAGCGAGTATATCATAGCAAACTTATTTATAAATTCATGTGTGCATTCACCCCTAGTTCCAATTAATAATAGCATTACCACCACTGGCGGTTGATTATATACAGCATGATAAACATTTGGTTCAGTACAGCCCTGAATTGGTTTTATATCAGAAATTTTTGAATAAGATATCCATTCGAGATTGTCAGTTAATTTTGACTTCCCGTCATCATAAGTTCTCGAAGCTTCGATCAACTGGTCAATTGCAGGACACCCTGAAACGTCCTCATTCACTCCCAAGTTGTTGTCAACTTCCGAAACCAATAGCTTGATGACCGCTGACATTCTTTTGATATGGTTATAAAACTGTACGCTATGCTAAATTATATTGTGAATGTATTGCAAAGAACGGTTGTCAGTCCAAGTCAAATGTAAGATTGATGGTATTTACGAGTATAGTGCGGCTAAGTTTATTACGACCTGACACAAACCTTATTTATGAACGTCCATTGTCATTCTAGTTGCCGTATATAGATAGTTGTTGTTGTAACGCCATCTTTTATTATACGGTCAGTACATATTAATTATTCTAACGCAACAGATATAATAAAGTCGACGGGACAGGGATTTTTCTTTACTATATCAAAAATTTTCAATATAGTAAAGTTCATATATAAGTGGCATAAATCATCATTATTATTATGTTGCGACTGGCAAATCTTATAGTAGTATAATAATAAATGACTCAAACGTTATTTCTACTGACGAATCTAATACTGCTGGACAATTTATATGAAAATGTACTGTCACACAGTGAAAGTCGATATAACAATAACGGACCATCGATATAACGGATCGTCAATAACCGGACTTTTTCTCTGGAACGGAATTGTTTATTAAATAATACTATAATATCTGATATAAAACTCACAAGTCGATATCAAACTCGCCGATATTACGGATTAAAACGCTGGTCCCGAACAGTCCGTTATATCGACTTTCACTGTGTATCAAGGGAAAATTTACTATTGCTATAGCACGAAATTCATCGTATCAAGACTTTACTATATCAAGGTTAGACTGGACTGTCAGTTTTTGTCATTGCAGTGATACCAGCTAGAAAAATGTAAATTAGTTGACCTAGACAGTGATAACAAGGAAGAAGAAACTAGAACCCCCCCCAAATACAGAAGTTAAGGTTATAATTCTCAACCATTTAATGTGCATGTTGTGGGGTTCTGCAAATTTGAACTGGTTAGATCATCAGTGCTTGTAGTAGTTGTAGAGTGGGTGACATCAGCATCACTGACACAACATTTCTTGTGGATCTGGAAATCTGCATGTAATGTAATTTAAATACCACCACCAGAGACACCCAGATACCAGTGAGTATACAATATTAATATTTCTCATTTTAGCTATGTTGCATTTTATTTTGATGTAGTGATAACAGTGGTTGTTTTTTTTTGGATGTGATGATAACCCTATATTAATATATTAATTTTAATAACTTGGCAATTATTTGTATGTCTTTCTGATCTAAAAGTGCAAATTGTTACAGCAAGCTGATCTGATGAATCAGGCAAGCGAGTCACATGATAAAATATTACTCCCGCAGTCAAACAGCCATATTTTAGTTCAGTTTCACAAAAAGCATTAATTTAGGAATAACAGCGTTTCGAAAATCCGCAACGGCGCCACGCTACATTAGGAAACAAAAAATGTTGCAAAAAATCCGCGACAGCACAAAACGCTATAATTAATCTATTAGTTAATTGCTCTTCTAGAAGTAGTAAAAGTGCGTTGCATTTTTCCGCGACGCTCGAAGATATATAAGTAGCTCTCTATCGCCAAATCTTCATGTTTTTAATGTTATAATGTTGTCATGTTACGAATAAATAAAATATTACTGATCTTAATAGTATTCTCCCGCAATCCTTTATTATAAATATACATTTTTATTTCTATCGTCGACACACCAATAAACGGCTCACTTAAGCTGTAACGGAAATAGCATTGATTTTGATCAAGCTAGTAGGCTGTCCGCTAATCAATTACGTGAATAACGGAACGAGAGTTCATAATTAATTATCACGATGATTATTGTTTAATTAGTTTAGTAAAGACAAGTGACGGATACCGACTAGTCGACAAACAAATCGAAGATATCCCTGTTTAATTTTAAAATAGTATTATTCCCCTTTTATTAGAAGTACCCTTATTTGTATTCACGAGTGTTTGAAACTCGGATAGGGAGTGAGAAGTAAAATAAGTCACTTGAGGCTTAATTCAGTCTTAATTATACAACTATCGTAATAAGGGCAATAGTGCGAGCTAAGCCTGGTAACATCCCCGGTCGGCGAACACACCTACGCGAAAGATAAATCGCTCTTTCCCACAAATCCCATTTAATTCCCGACCGTAACAAAATCTTTATTTGCTAAGGTAAACAATAGTAGAGTTTACTCTAAAAATTTCACCTCAACAAATCACCAAAGAATTTGTTTTTGATTCCATCATAGTCAATAAATGCTACATCCCTGAATTGTTTAACTAACTGGGAGCACCTGGACTGCCCTGCATATAAACAATGCAGAAATCCGACACAGGCTGATTGTTTGAGTAACAACAAAATGACCTTGGTTGTTGAATATTACCCTGTGTTCTGAACCAAACACTGTGTCCAGATATACTTCAATTTGATTTCTTGGATCATTAGAGTAGTAGTATGGATCAAAGGCTTTGCTGATATTTGCAATTACAATGTCCTATTTCCACTATTGATCGACACATTAGGGACGAAATGACTTGAATTAGTGGAAGCAGCAGAGTTTCCTGGGCTGGGTAATACAGTATACCACAGCGCAGCGGTCGACGGATAATGTGTGGTTGTAAAAACACATGCGCTGATGGCCGATGCAGTTGTAGAAAAGCAAAACAGAAGTATGACAATCGATTCCATAAGCTGGTGTTAGTTGTAAAAGTACATGACGTGTGACTTCTAATATTGGATGTAAACAATAGCTTATACTTGGTACAGTGCATGACACCTTAAACCAGCAAAATATATATGCGATCTTTAAAGTTTTTCACACAAAAAATTAAACGTAAAAAGATGCAGAAGAATAAAGAGAAAAAAGTTACGAAACTGTATGCCAATTGGTTGAGTTTTGATGAAACTGAATTTTTTTAAAGTCTGACGTTTTTACTAATAAAAGTAAGAATTTGGCCGGTCTCATGTGATCAAATTCCAGTCGTGTAACAAGAAATTGAAGCATATGATGGGTCAGGATGTAAAATAACGACATGTGTGTGAATAAGCATACTCACCACTATCGCTATACACCAAGCATGGTACGATTGTCTAAAAAAAAATTGCAATTAAAAATAATAATTCAAGAACAAAGCTAAGCATCAACATCAGGAAGCAGAAACTAATAGCAATAGTAAAGATAAATTTAAAGATGACAAGTTTAGCAACAGCAAAGATGATTAGTAATGAGTTTAGTGACAGCAGAAACGAATTTAATGATGACGAGTTCACGAAACCACTGTGATTGCACATGGGTGAGTCTGAAAAGAACAGTGCCACAAGCTCTTGCATCAGTATCACTTTGTGAGATTAGACGGTATGCCCAGAAAGCCTTTAGGTAAGTTAAAGTAAATGGATGTGTATCGTAAAGGTGGATGTGTATCGTAAAGGTCTGACAAGAAATGCTGCTGAATATGCAGTAAAAAAGTATCGATCACACCGTCGTGTTCCAGTTTCAATTTTACTTGATGTTAATGCATTGAGAAACTAATAATAATTCTGTAAAATACATAGACGAAACTTCGTTTATAATAAAAAACGCGGCATTATACTAAATATGATTGGATGGCGTGTTAAACAATCACATGATTTGCATTTTTTAATTTTGGCTATACAAATTGAAATTTGTTGGTTTAAGGTGTCATAAACATAAGAGTTGTTATTGTTATTGTTACAGTCGTCTTATATTACGTAACTCATAGAGTGATCATGATCCTTTGATTGCGATAAGAAAAATGTTTAGGGACCCTTCTCAATTTTGGGGTACTTTGACGTATTAGTATAAATCGTGGTACGGCATTTATAAACTTAAGTTGCATTTATACGTATAAAATCCGGGATTTATACGGTGACGGGATTTATGCACGAACAATCATTTTAACAATCCCCGGGAGATTTATTACTTTGACATAAAACATAATGGTGTTTGGTTGGCCAAGCACTTTTAAAACTATACTTAGCTATTCATCCTTTGTGATATTACATTTATTATTATCGTATTAATATTTATGTTCAATTTTACTCCAAATCAGAAATAGTTTTTTATGACTTCTAATTAATAAAAGCTCAAATACAAATTTACACCCCCCTGACAAAAGTATAAGTATGAGGTGAAATTTTACTAGTAAAACACATGAAAAATCTTTATTTTCAAAAATCTCTATCGTCCATACGTACTATGTAACCTACAATGATTTTGGTACCATTTTAAAGCTAATTGACTGTATTTTTCGAAAAAAATGGTGTGGAATTTAAATTAGTTACTGTAATGAAGAAGTAGTTCAATGAAGTGACGGCACTATGTTACACATATTATTTCATATGTGTAACATAATTTCGCCACTTCCTTGAACTACAGCTTTGAAACAACAACAGGACTGAGCATATCATAATTTTTTCTGAAAAATACAGTCAATTAGCTTCAAAACAGTACCAAAATCATTGTGGGTTACATAGTACATATGGGAGATAGAGATTTTCGAAAATAAAGATTTTCATATGTTTTACTAGTAAAATTTCATCTCGTACTTATACTTTTGTCAGGGGGGTGTACTTGTCTTATATAATAAAAATATCAAAATTTGGTAACTTTATTTAATATTAATTAGTATATTGGGGCATAAATATGACTATGTAAACTAAGTATCAAGTGTCACTAATTCATCTGGTAATACGAGTTCAATTTGTTTAGAATCTAACCAAACAATAAATTAAGATTAATATTAGTATTCATAAATTACTTATAATGACATCAATTACAATCCATTACTTTCATACCTGAAATATTATAACTGTTTCTTGGTGTAGGTAAATTTTCTGTTGTTAATATCTTGCTTGAGTATTTGCTTTCTTTCTCAATATGTGATACTGGCTTAACACTTTCTTTCTTATAGATGGTATCCCAAATAGCAGATTCTTCTTGAGATGAATTGCAGTGAGGAAGAAGTTTCTGAACTTCTTTCTTAAGCTTGTCAGCATTTGGGCGATTGTTTGGCTCAGCATCACAACATTGCTTAGCAAGTTCTTGGAATGGCTCTGGTGCTGAATCAGGCATATATGGCCGTAGACCATTACAAATATCTTGAATCAGCTTATAGTCAAATGCTCTATCTCTGAATGGTGGCTCACCACTGGCAATCTGATACATAAGAATGCCAAATCCATATATATCTGATTTCGACGTATGTTTGTGAGTATGAAAAACTTCTGGTGCAATATAGGGTAAAACTCCTTGAATTGTTGAGGATTTTGATTCAGCTGAGTGCACTGATTGAGAGAGGCCGAGATCACATATGTATGAAGTGAAACTAGGATTTAAAGATGCTGAAGTAGAATTTTTATCCAAAAGTACATTTCCACCATGAAGATCACAATGTATTAATCCTCTGCTATGGATAACTTCCAAATTAAATGCAATGTACTTCACAAGTTCAGCTTTCATTCTCCATGTCAACTCATTAATGTTTTGGACCAGATAAGATATAAGATTACCCCCTTGAGCATACTGCATTACAAGCATGTATTCATTTTTTTCAGGTACTTGTGTGATGCCATAAATCTGAAGAAAATTGTCATAATCACAAGTGATACACATTTTAACCTATAAACAAAATATAATATCAATATATGAATATATAATTAATAGTGAGTCCAAGATATTAAAAAAAACTTACCTCAGAGACAAAAGCATCAAATGTCTGGTCAAACTCTTTCATCCGTTTTAAGGCAACAATTTGAGTAGAATTGTCTTTAATCGATTTCATTTTAGCAGTATACACCGTCCCATATCCTCCAGATGCGGTCTCTTTAATGTCATAAAAATCTTCATACTGCATCCAGGAAAATTCACTTTTACAATCTGCCTTTGCAATTTGTACAATATTGTCCAAAATTGAGTGTGTTTCACCGTAGAAAATTAGAAAATAATCCTTTTTTAACGGCTCTTGAGTAACACCAATAATCCAGATGTTATCTGGAGTTAAGATCTTTGGATATTCTTTTACAAGCTATAATATATGGTTGAATTAAATATAATATTGTATATATTAGTAAATCATTATAAGAATGTTGTGTTGTTTAATAAAAATATTTTTTACCAGATTAAAATCATATGATTGAGCATCTTCTCCGCCAACTATTTTCTTGAGTAAGACTTTTATTAAATGGCCTCTACTTGTTGTCCAATCTGCTACATGTGAGCATCCATGGTCTAATAAAGACATTTCATGCACATTTTTTAACTGAGAAAATTCTATCCATTGCAGATAACCATCATAGATATGTATCATATTTTCCCATGATTTCTTTAGGAATAAGTCTAGAGATTCGTTGCCAGTTGTCCAACCGGAATATTTCAATTTTTTACACGAGAAACAGAAGTCAGTTATATTGGGGTACAATTGACCTGTACAAAATCGACATGTTGGGGTTCCATTTTTGCTTTTCATAAGAGCGTATTTTTGCGATAGCGGATTATATGTGAATCCAAGAACAATGTTAACATCGTTATCAAATATATCCGGATTATCACTACATAGCTAAAACATTATCGGTATTAATAAGTCAATAATCATGGCATTTTTGGCTACAATTGAGCAGTTTACCTTTTGATAAAATAGATCATCTGACAACTCTGAAGTCTCAAGTGGAATCAATTCTAGAAAAATGCTCATAGATGAGCGCCTATAGCGTGAAAATGTATATTTCCGGGGGTCATCCTTATGGAGCATAGTAAGCTTATCTGGCAATGTTAGACCAAGCCAATCAGGCGGACAAAACTGTAAGTAGAAATCATTTGGTGTCGTTGTCCGAATGTGTGATTTTCTAATAAAGTCATCAAGTTTCTTGCAATTGCTTGTCCATTCATTCGATAATTCTTTTTGACCACAAATGCACCACACAGGACTACTTCTAAGTAATCCACATGCAGAGCAAAATCCAAATATAGAATAAAAGTGAGCAAATGGTCTGTTAGCTACAAAGTAGTAAGTATCTTCAATCATAGTAAATCCCATTATTTCACAGCCATTGCGCATTGCAAGCAAATATGGATATCTTTCGAATTGATTGACATTGGACGGGGAAAGAGTTTGCGCTGATAATGAGTGAGTTCTAGCAAACTCATTTATAAACTCGCTTGTACATTTATCTCTGGTTCCAAGTAATAATAGCATCATTTCGGCTTTACCGTATACAGCATAGTAGATATTCAAGTCAGCAGACTGTCGAATTAGCTTTACGTCAGAAATTTCTGAACAAGGTATCCATTCGAGCTGATTACATGACACTAACTCGCCGTCGTCACGAGCAGTCGAGTATTCAATCAACTGGTCAATTGCCGGACATCCTGAAAGACTCTCGATAATTTGTAAGTCTGATGTCATTTCTTTGAAGTGTTGTTCAAATGGTAGGTAAGCTGCTGTGAACGAAAAACGTTTATTATTATTGTGGATCCGTCTTGATAGACACAACGTTTGTGTTGCTGATGGCTGGTTTGTGTCATTATTCGATATTGGAAATTAATATTATTATCACATTGTGCTATGACGTATGTTTGCGTAACATCCCTTAACCTTATTCTAATTGCCATAATAGGCAAGTGGATAATCCCCGATACCAAAATATTCAAAAAAAGTGCCAGAGAATCGTTGAATGCCATCAGACTTTGTTAGTTTGCATAATTTCAAAGTTTATCATTAAATATTGAAACATCGATGTTTACGCTATTATTTACACGGTATTATGATATTGAGTAGTCGTATGTTATCGTGGTTATGCATATTGTTGGATGTAAATGCTCCATCACTCTTGGTTTAATATGCTTTATTAATTGTAATGTGACAGTCATTTGTAACAGCTAGAATCGCAAAAAGTTTTAGCAGCTAGAGTGTATTCTCCATTTTATAAGATTCTGTTAATACTTCTATACATTTATCCGCCTAACTGTTATGAAAGAATAACAAGAACTAAAAGAATTATACACAGTGCAATATATTCCAATTAAACCTTAGTCACATTGTATTTCCCACTTCTGCTAGTATTAAATTTCTCAATTCTATTGTTAAATTTATCTCTCTTTGATTGCTTGATTATAAATGTTCTTTGAAACTTGAAAGGTTTCTTTTCTGCTTAGTTATTACGAGCTTTGATAATTTTCATCCACACATTCACCTTGTCAGTCGGGTTTTCTCAAATTCTGCGTAATAACTTCCAATATAAGTGACTGTTTGAGGAGTGTGCTGAATAAATTGAATCATAAGTTAAACTTTCGATCATGCTTTTTGAATTTTATTGTACTTCCTCCCGATTCTTCTCATAAACCAGACAATTGTCATATCGCTGTTGGACTAATAGAGGCCTCCATATCGTCGACAATCATTTTTGATCATAAGTTGCAGTTTAGCAATCATAATCAGGTAGTCTTTCGGAAATGTTGTATCGATAATATGTGGTACAAAAATACTCTTTCAGGTTAATGTATACAGAATATTCACTGATGCAAGTTGATTTGAATACTAACTGGAAGTCACGAATTATATTGATCTGTTAATGACATCAAATTAAGCGCATAAATGACATAACAGAGACCCAATACATCTGAAAGAGATGAATAAAAGCTGCGTTTGTCTAAAAGGCATCTATTTGGTCCGAATAAAGTAATAACATCAGCCATGACAAATTTGCAAGACAAAGTTAAGGTCGGAGAATAAACCCATTATAATTACAAGTTTACGAATGGCGAACAACTGTCGTGAAGTAACTGGTTCTAGACATAATAATAATAATTGTCGACGAAACAAACCGGTACCCTTTAATATACAGTACGTGGTAAAGTACTCCATCTTAAACTTATCTTGTATACTTATGTCTCATTTTTGCTGGTCTTAAAACGTAAGCGCTTACGCACGCGGTCCCTGAACCCTGTATTTTAATACATTTTGAGCGTTCCACTAACTCACAATTTTCTGACTGCTATAAAAAAAAATTACAAAGCTATAATATTATTATTATTAACCAGATAGCATAAAGATAATAATATTGGGGGCCATACAAATTTACGAGAGAGTAATAACAGATGGCAAACACTGTATAAAAATTTAGGGAAAAATTAGACAAAAAAATTATTATAATTTAAAAAGAGAATTATACTGCAATCATTTATTATGTACATTTAATTGGCATTTGTATTGTTTAACTAATTTAAAGATCGAAGACGAAGAATAACCGACGGTACAGAATACAACGACTTGATTGAGGTAAAGGTAAGAATGAAAATACTTATATTTAATAAACAAAGTAAATTGAGGACAAGGTTTACTATGTACTTCATTTGGATTATTAAACCGTATGGATAGAAATACAGTCAAACCTCTTTATATTGATACGGCCATTTTTATCAGTATAACCAGCTTATCGGTATAATCAGAGGCCCTCTTTATACAGTACAATCTAATAGAACTATTCGGATTTTATCGGTATAAACCAATTATCGGTATAAAGAATATCGGTATAAAGAGGTTTTGACTTTTACCATGAAGCCAAAAGTCATATCCCACCTTTTTTTTTAATGTCATCACTGCCCAATCGAATTTAGGTTTCACGAAAAAAGTCTATATCACATATTTAGCTACAAGCGATATAGTTTACTTCATTACTGCGCTTCGGCCCCCGCATGGTTTAAATGCAGAACAGTTTATTATATACTCGATTAAGTTGGAGCATTCTTAACAAATCGATTACATTAGTAATATTCCTGTTTATTGATCGTCGTCTGACAAAAAGCAACCAACAGTCAATTAACAATGCTGTGTTCCCATAATACCAAGTCAGAAATTCGATCTTTAGTATTAGGCTAAAATATAAATGCATATTCTGACCAATTGGAAGGGCGGAGCGTTAGTGTCTGTCACATAATTAGAACCGTAATCTTGACTGACGCGACTTGAATATGCGGCTTTCATGCTGAAGACCATTTCGCAATAGTACAATTCATCGTTTGTCACCACGAGAAGCCGAATTAGGCATTTCTTTGAATTTCCATTAATGGATGATTGAGCATAAAATTAAGTTTAGTACTTTACCGGGTTTATCGACAATTGGTTACTTGGGCTTGATCTATATCCGGGATAAGGAGCATGGAACAAGATCCTATTACTAAGGGAGAAGGCAGAAGGTTGATTGTAAACCCGATTCAGGGTGACTGGCAAACACAGCCACAAGTCGTTTTAATTTTCTCGACCAGAGATGTCAAGCGTAGATTCACAAGTTCAGTTGTTATATTTCGGTGTAAGGGATGTTGTCATGTAGTTACAAGAAACTGTCGCACGGTTGTCGCATAGTCGTAAACAAGTGTGATACAATAAATGCTCGCTTTTATTAATAATACGTTATTAAACAATGCAAATATTCGGGTATTTGTCCCAATATATTAATAATTGAAATAACTTTATTCATCTCTTGTAAATCAGTAAACAATTGGATCTGTGTCGTTGGCAACATAATACTATGAATGGATTAGTGACGACACAACAATCGTAATACGTAATCGTATCCCCCATGTTCTTTTCCAGCCATTCACTTACTATTCTGCCCAGGTTGACACTTTTTTGACTACTGCCCAATACAGGTCAAATTGCGCATACACTAATAGCTTACCACTCTACACCGAGTACATCATAGTAGTGCAGAATACTATATGAGAATATATTGATAAGAGGAAAACTTTATCATAAAAGGTCCTGCAGTGTTCTATTTTATTCTCAGTCGTTGCTTGCGTGTGTGTGTGTCCCTGTAAAGCTGTCATAAGATACTCGAGATGGAAGATTCCTCTGAGCATGCTGTCGTGGTAAAATTCCGTTCTACGGGGAAGGACTTTGACTACAACTTTGATCCGGCGCAATTAACAGTGCGACAATTGAAAGAAAAACTGACCACACAGACTAGCATACCTGCCGATAGCATGCGTCTAGTGTACTCGGGTAGAGTGTTAAAAGACGAAGACACAGTCGAGTTATACGGTAAGTTATTAATAGTAATAATAATGGCAGCGACTGGGTGGCACCGTGTTGCTAGTTGCTTCTTTTTTATGGAACTTGTAACATAGAACATTTGTTACCATATATAATAACATACAACAGGCTTAATGTCTAATTAATTGTCAATTCATATATCGAATGCATTACTCATTGTATTGTGTTTGAATCAATGTCTTTTCCTTTTATAATGTAATTGAATGGGTATTTACAGGAGTAAAAGCAGGTCATACAATTTACGTTGTAAAAATAGCGGCCAATCGTGCAGCAGAACAGGCAGCAAACGCTTCGACGACTACGACTACGACGACAACAACTACGACTACGACTACGACAACGACGGCATCACCATCAACCAGAGGATCCAACAATGTATCAGCGAATCCATTTGGAGCAAATCCATTCGGACTTGGGTCTGGACTTGATCCAGACATTATGAGGAGTGTAATGAATTCACCTATGCTCAGGGTAATGATGACATATTAAATGAGATTTGATGACATTATAGTAATATGACGGTAATGGGTGTATTACTGACTAAGAATACGCGTTACTATAATATATTGTGAATATTGATATATTTAAGTCTAAGGGCGCCAGTCTAATATCAATTTCTAATAGAATACGACTAATCCACAGTCTTTATGCTAGTCCAATGCAAACAATTGTACTCATTCTACGTTTGCTCCTTTTTTCTGATCATTAGCATTTGTTATCGAACCCAGAGATTGTCAGATCGATGGTGATGCAAAATCCGACTATGCGACAGATGATCGAACGTAATCCCGAGATTGGACATATAATTGTCGGTATTTAAGAAAATTTCATCCCTTATGAACATGTTAGCTGACAAAAAAAAATACGTTGTTGTACACTGCTATTAATGAAACTTCATTAAACGATTCTTTTTTTTGTATAGAATGACCCGTCATTCATTCGACAGGTTAGGAGAAAGAATGAAATTACTTGAATGAATGTCTTGTAAATATTTTCGATTGACTTATCAAACTCCTTCTGTAGACGATGGACATGGCAAGAAATCCAGAACTTATGAGGGAAATGATGCGTAACAATGGTAACTCACATTCGACGAAATCCAAGGTTTTATGTCATGTGACTACATTTAACTAATTTCTCTATTTCTCTCTCACTAGATCGCGCATTAGCCAACTTGGAAACTATTCCGGGTGGATTTAATCATTTGCGACGGATGTATCATACGCTGCAAGAACCCCTGGATTCCGCAGGAAGAAATGTAAATGACTTGCCGTCACTTAAAACTGTATTGCAAATATACCTTAACATAAGATTCTAACAGTTGAAGTTTGGTTTTTTTTTTTCGCATGTTATTTAGAACGATCAGTTATCAGAGATTGCTAACCAGCGACTTGCCCAGCTCCTCAACGTGGAAAGCCCACCTGGTATGCATGTAATGGCGTATGAACATGGGAATGGTGGATATTCTATGTGAAAGAAGTATTAATAATGTCATTGAACACGTTTATTAGAGGGACAGATCAATAGCACTCCTCTGCCCAATCCGTGGGCCCCGCGCAACAACAACCTGCAAACACAAGTTGGAAACCCATTTGCAAGTAAGCATATCGCTTGAATGGTAAACGGTGATGGCAGTGATGACGATGGGGATTGTGATCAAGTGACTACGATGATATCATTTTGCAAGATTGTATTGATATCTGTAACTTTACATTTAAGTCGAACTGGAACAATATCACCAGTATCACGACGTCGTCTATCATCAACATCAACGTCACTGTCACTGTCACTTTCACAGTCACAGTCACAGTCACTTGTTTGCATCCTAATAACGTTTTATCCATTCCTCATTTTGTCAGATATATTGCCCCTCGGTGTCATACCACTATCTAATCAAACGGTAAGTACCACCACTGATTTGGCTATTTTTGTAAATTAGATAGTGTTGTTAACAAACTATATTTGTTGTTAACTCTACCTATATCTCAAAATTGATTCTCATACAAACCAATTTTCCCAACTCAATTATTGATTCCTAACGCCACCTGTTCGAATAGCCTTTCCTAACACCAAATTCGTCACGTAACCAGTCACCTCATTCATCAATACGATCATCTGCGTCGTCACCATCTACGTCATCTTCACAGTCGACTAATAACACAACAGGGCCGGGACAGTCATCCAATAACCCTCCATTCCCAATACCTGGCATGCCACTGCCAGCAGACCCAGATTTTATCCGGCGTCTACAACAAACTGCAGAGAGGATATTTTCACATCAATATGCATCCTCACAACAGTCCCAACGGCCTAGTTCATATTCAACATCGATGTTTAATCCCAACCCTTTGTTAATGACTATGCAGTCACCGTTCGGGTAAGCACATCGGGTATTATGCAGTCTGAATATTATCACTGCGATAACTACCCGTGATTATATGCACATATATGAGCATACTCACCGACTTTTATCTAATCTATCCGTTAGAAACGCGTCACCTCCGCCTCCACAACAGAATATTGATCCACCGCAAACTCGTTTCCGTGATCAACTTCAAAGATTAGAAGAAATGGGATTTCATGATCAAGCACTTAATATCAGAGCTTTATTTGCTGCTGGAGGTGACGTAACGTCAGCTATTGATTGGCTACTGCAGAACCTCAACTGACAGACATTTTTCCTGATTGATTAAATATTTATAACTAACATACGTAAGTCATTGAACATTCATTGTCACTGAACGTATGTCTATTGTTGATTTGTGTTGTTGGGTTTGTTGTTTGTTGGGTTTGTTGTTTGTTGTTTGTTGTTTGTTGTTGCTTTTCTTTGTTTTTTGTTTCGTTTTGTTTTTCTCATTTATATACATTGGGAGTTGGCAAATTTTGGTAATTGAATCGGATGGTGTATTTGTGTTTGATTTAATTGTGTTGTTTATCATCGGGTTTTCGGTCATATGCACAGAATGCATGCTAGCAACTATTTCTTTTATATTCCCCTCTATTAGAGTTTCCCAAAGTGAGCATTTTTGTTTGTTTTCTGTTATTATTTGGCTGCTATTGTTTTTGATCTACCAGTTATTCGTGGAATTAAGTTGGAGGCACGCTTTGATGATTTGAAAGACTATGACTGGATGATCAAAACTCACGCTACCGATTGACAATATTTGTTAAAAGTCTTAGCTTATAATTTACACGTATCATTTGTATTGTTGCAATTGAGACAAATATATGACAGGTGGAAGGAGGATAAGATGCAATAAAGCGAACAGGAAGAACTCAAAGAGCAATACACGATTTAACTACTATTTGTGAGTAATTCGGCAATTACACTGGTTACACCGGGATCGAAAATTTCTCAATTCTATAATATTAATATATTAATATGTAACTTGTAAACCGCTCCGTTTACTGAGATGTTATTAACTTGTAACACCATATAAACAACATTGTCATTCTCTTTGATGCGAAAGGAGAACTGTATAAATCACAGTGACTTGATTCTACAAAGGCGAAATGTGCGTTGAACTATTTCCACGATTCGTCCGCTTTATCTTCTACGAGGACATAATTTTCAATTAACATGGGATATAAGTTATGAATTATACATGCCCGCGTCACATTTACGAGCATTTCGAGGTAACGATGTGCATTTAATTTAATATTTATGCGCGAGGGAATGTAAAATTGTGTGTGGGTTTCAACTATATCTAAGAATGGAGAGGTAAAACTTTACAATTAATTGTCAAGCAAATGTTGCAGCCAAAATAAAAAATCATTCCAAGATTGTATGTAGATTTTTCAAGTTAAAGCAAGACAGATCTTATTGAAAAAATTCAGGTTACACCCACGTTTTCCTACAGCTTCAAATGATACCAAGATACGGACGATGACGACTTTCGAAAATAAAGCTTCAAATTTATCAGAGTCTGCAATTCCTTTAATGTTTGGGTTAGGGTGTTCCTTCTTTTTTTTTCCCCCCCTAAGTTATGAAGGTGCTTTGGTATTCAATCCTTATGAAAAGCGTGATTGATAAAGTTCTTTTGCAGTCCACTACAATTTTTACAATGCATAACAGGAGCTTCAGCGACACATTTTTCTTTTTTTCGAATGCACGTAAGCTCTTTGCTCAACACGAAGTAACGACAGTTCTAACGGTAGACCAGATAAGATAAGATACAAGAATACGTGTAGGCCGTTAGTTGTGAAAAAGACGCGTCCATAGAGATTGTTGGGAAATCAGGTGATTATTACTATGTATTAGTATGACGATCAATACAATGCATATTATACACGTGATTTGGATAAGTTCAAATCATCATCCAGATTCTTACTAACTAACAAGCATAGAACAATTATGAATACGCAAGACGATAAGTGGCCACCTGTATATTACGCTCTACCTGAAAATCAAATCAGTTTCGAAGGGTTTTTAATTAACCTTAGAGCATATGTAGCCGCTGTAAGATAATTGCGCAGGAATATCATTTACCATTGCAAATTGTAAAGTTTACTGATGCGGCGTACCTGCCATTTCGCAGATTGATTGGACTGAACCGTGGCTTGTATGTGTATTGCTCTTCCACGTGTTAATATTTTTCGTGATAATCTCCGTTCGAAAGAACACGAATATTCTATGTGCATTTACCTTTGGATTGAGTATGTGTCTATCAAATTGCTTATATTTGTTCTATCTAAATGGAGGGAGGTAACATTATTTTTCTTTCGGTGAAATGCAAACTAGTGGCCTTGGCTTTACTCTTGCAGCCTATAAATACTCTTGCAAGTCATTATTGGAATTACTTTGCAAGACAGAACTATTTTGACAAGAATGGATTGTTTGTAACCGCCATCTTTGCATTTCCTGCGCTGTGTAATATCACTCTTGGAATTGTAAGATATAACGACGGGGTTGGTCTCAGTGGGTTGGAGCTTATGGATTCGAAGAAGAGATAAATTTTTGATGGCAAACTCTATTTTTTCCCCCAGTGCCTGATATTAATAGAAGTCCTCCACCTTCTGAGACGCGTAAAAGTTGCTCAACTCAAACGAAAACGTACACAGACTCTGTCTATTCAGTCAAAGGAAGATAAAGAACAGCATGAGCAGCCGTTGTCTGCTCAAGTGAAGAAGGATCAGTAACATAATATTATCCATAACAGTTTTGAGATTAAGTAATCTAATGTCTATTTAATCTTATAATAATTAATAATATCGATTTCACATTTTTTTTTTTTTTTTGACGTAAACGAACTAAATCTATTACCCCGTCTTGGAATTTCATAATAATATTATACTCTACGGCAAGCATGTTTATAAACGAAAAATATATTCACATCTTTAAACGGATCTCTTTCCATTATTCGCTTTTGCAATATTTTTTATCTCCATTTCAATAGCTATTAACTCTTCCATTGAAAAGAAATCATCGTCCGTAATTACAAAATCGTTCGGACTCTCCGGATTGTCAGCCGTCATTTTTGTACAATTGCTGTCCTTGAGTGGTGATAGATTATCGTCCGATGTCAGTAAAGAATAGGGTGATGTATATGATTGAAAACTTGAGGAACTTGATGATGAATAGTCGTTGGTATTCATTGTTAATGGAGAGCGATATGACATAGACACCATTGGCGTTCGCCTTGCTTCAGCTTCCACTTCTATTGTCGGCGGATTGTCCTTTGGCGTTCTCAAAAGCATACTTATGTCTTTATCTAACTTGGCTGTAGCCAGAGCGGCAGGAGACTTCCTTGGTTTCAATGCTCCTAAATTGGCTAACCTGTCTGCGGCATTATTGCCTCTAGATGTGTGATGTGCCTTTACCCATCTCTTCGAACGAGATGGTTTTAGTGCGATAAAATACATAAACAGTTTTATAAAGTTCTACATGGTCAATTCCACATCCCATAAAGTTTGCTATCATTGAGATTTATCAAATATAAATGGCCGAATCAACTCACTGTATCAACTTTCCCTTCTCTTGCCTTTATCAACGTCATCAATCGCCGAAACAGATCCTCGTTCGCGACTGGCTTATTGTTAGCAGTCCTCCATTTACCGCTCGCTTCCCACTTTGGTATCCATTCTTGGTACGCTGTATGGAATGGAAATGTACGAGGTTATTATATGCACATTGTCCAATTAGACAAATAAAAAGTACCTTTGTGTAAATAATTGCTATCAGTATAAAACAACAACGGCGATTTTGTGTCGACACATGTTTCTAGAGCACGTATTGCCGCCTAGTCAGCAAATGAAAATAGACGTAGAACGTAAATGGTAAGGGAGAAGTGATTCTCAGTCTGTGAGCCACACGATGGATACGCTTTATGTTAGATACACATTATAAGCCTCTTACAATTTAATTCTCTTTTCAGCATACCATAATCTCCGCTCTCTGATTTGTTTGTCTGAAACCTTCTAGCGGTTCACTTAGATTCCTATGATAAGCATACATTGTTAGGACCTGGACTTTGAACCTTTCGCATGATAAAACTGTTTAATTACCTTGGATCGTTTTCGCCCCAAAAGACGCCTATGCCAGCTCGAGCATCGTGCCGACCGTTATTTAGCGCGCAGCCGTCAATGTAGACAACTAATTGAGATTGATTGCTACTGGACTTATCAATGATAATAAATCCTGATTAGAACATATTAGAACCACTTCTGTTCGTTCCAATAACATTTAATCTGTCAAGAACAAGGAACGTACTCTGATGGCTTGCTGTAATAATATCAACTAACATTACCTACCATTTGTGACGCACAATCTCAACAATTTCTCGCTCATCAACAGAATATGGGAAATTTTCATAAAACATGTGACGAATTTGCTGTGCCACATTTTAATGTTCATACATAGTCGACACGAAGTAGAAACTCGGGGTTTCACTTTATATTTGTTTTTAGTTTCATGTGTCTCATGACTTGGTCGTTATTTGGTTTAATTTGGAATACCATCCTTGTCCATGATGCTTGACAACCTTCTGGTAAGAAATTTGTTAGGAAAAGGGGATTATTGTCAGCTATTGATTTGCAGTTTACGCGGTTACGCGCAGCACACAGATAAATTGTGAAGTAACTTTTTAAATTTGCTTTGTCTTAGAGAATCGATCCGAGTTTTTCTTATTTACCGTTGCAGAGTCTCGTTCTTAACAACATAGAACCATTCGATTTTAAGTTATTTGATTTCTGTAAATAATTTTTATTTTCCCAACTTGATTATTCATTTTTACAAAGTGAAAGCCTATGTCAACGTGCTGTACAGTCTCATGCCTAAAAAATGGTATATATCAATTTGATTCTTCTTATTATTTTCGAGGGGTTGTATTCGTCAGGTATAATACCAATCATTTTGCATCTGCGGGTCTGATACAATAAATATATTAAGAAATTCAATTGAATTCACTTGAAAACCTTATCGTTAACAATAACTCACAATATGAGAATTTATCACTCATTATTAACTTGCATCAGTTTTCTATAATTAAATTTGCAGGTTTCTCATCGACTAATTCACAATTGAAATCTCGAGCACTAAAATGTATGTGTCATGTGTGACTCATGTGATCAAAAAGAGAATTCGGGTAGCAAAGAATTTTAATGATTTACTTTCTCTTACATTGGGAGTCATGTCAAAATTGAAGAAGGGTCCTATGCTACAATACATCAACCAGGTGAACATAAAATTTTCACCGTTCTCGCCATCAGCCAAAACTGCAAGGCAAGTGAATAAATTACTATATAGATTGCATTGGAGTCTACTATATCTAAACTGGATTTATACTTGCACAGAATATTCCTCTCGCGTATCATGACAGACAATGGACGCAAAGCAAATCCAAATGCTAAAATAAATACCATACTTTCGCCGAATCCCAAGGATAAACCAAACATAAACATCACATTTCGTACGTACGGGAAGGTCAATGCCAGGAATAGTCAAATGAGGGAACTAACTGTTCGATATTTTTAGGAGATGGAAAAACCATGGATTTCGATGCGAGTACGATGAAGATAAACGAGTAAGAAATTTAACTACACGTTACGTTCATTATGCAACTGCTCACACATTTCAATCTTAGATTACTAAGACCCGTAGAAAAGCACATCCGCAAACTACGAGAACAAGAAGATATCGGCTAAACTTGATATGAGTTTCGTGTATCAATACAAACCAAGACGCTACAATTTATTAAAAATTTTATTATATGTTCGTGATTGTATTTACGCTTTTACGGCATACTTGCGAGGAGGAAAAGCCGCTTCTCTTTTGCGAGTTCTTTAAAAATAAAAATTATGTTAAAGCTGTGGAATTGTTGATATTCGAACGAGCAACAGAGCTTGACGACTCACCGTAACGTCTTCAGTGATAGTTCGTGCTATTATAAACATAGAACGGTTTTAGAGAGTATTTGAATAAAAAAAAAGTCTGAATCACTACAACATGTACTCACCTTTGTCAATCGACGACGAATGGCACGAGTCTTCTTTGGTCGAAGGTCGAGTGGGAGGTATTTTCTGGAATACGATGAATTCGGTTCTTTCTTCGATGCATAGAATTTACGAAGATAATCTCGTGTGGTAATGGACATGACTGTATTGACTCGCGCAATATCCTTACGAACGTCACGGCTAGCAAACGAACAGAATATAGCCAATCGATTAGAATTTATTAAGTTAAGAATCTGTGATCTGGTTATCAAGCGTATCACCCGCATCGAGCATTATAAGATTATGTTTACGCTCTTCTGCTTGTACTTACATCTTGGTCAGCTTCGAGGCAGCTCCACCGGCTACCTTCTGAACCTTTAAGGTGCCTAGCTGCTGCTTAAGCTCTTCAAGCATTTGCTGGAGCTCGGCTTTATTTTTTGTCCTAAGTTCGTAAGCTTTAGCAGAAGCCTAAATTTAGTGGTGATCAAAATACGTCAGATATGTAGCCAGAACAGTTTCTGACAAATCAATGGTGTAAAGAAGCTAAAAGAATGTCACACTATTGTATAGGCAGTAGCTTTAACAACTGCAAGAACCACATCCCTCGCTATCATCTTTTCTGCCATTTGACGTCCTTAATTACTGTCTTGGACGTCACCACAAAAGCATCGGAGGCAATTATCTTGCAAAACATGATGGATGGATGACAAACCCACATACCATTCTTATTTATTTAAGACGTTGGCTATTTTGAAAGAGGTAGATACATTATATTTGTATTGGATATTTTAAAAGTTTTCTACGTCATGTAATCATGTGACTTGTGATATCAAATTAATTCTGACCAACGAAAAACTGCAAATTTTGCATTTACGAAGTTTGCAAACACTAGGATCAACGTCCATTTGGAGCTATTAATATTAATTGTCACACCATGACCTTTCATTGGTTGATTAGATTTTATTCTCTAACCCCATTGGATGGTTTCGGCTTCAGCCGGATTTCAGCATCAGCAATTAACATATTAGCAGACGCATTTAAAGTTACAGTCATACCTCGTTTATATCCCCACTTTGGGTCTCTCGATCATTCAATTTTGGCCTAAGAAGGCCAAAACTTCAATATTAATATTAAAATTCAGTTGACAATTTAAATTCATCTACATAGAAACAGCCACCACATCCATATTCTCAAAACCAGAGAATAATTACATCAGGCTATAATAATAATAATAATAATAATAATAATAATAATAACGATAATAATAATAATAATAATAATAATAATAATAATAATAATAATAATAATAATAATAATAATAATAATAATAATAA